AACTAGGGTTTTAGTCTTAGGTTGCTAGAACTAGAAAAATCGCCGTCAGCTCTTGTAGCCAAGGCTTTACCTTGTTGTACCGTTCTTATGCTAAATCAGAATAAGAAACCTCTTTGCTCTCTTTTCGATTCTCATATTGTTTTTACTGTGTTTCTCGTATTCTAATTGCTTGGCGTATGGTTTAGAATATATCCGGGACCTCTGGAAAATTAGGGTTTTCCTTAAGTTCCTTAATTTACGGAAATCAACGGTGTGAATTTCGGTTCCCACAGTTTAGCGCTAGAAGAGGGGTTATGGATCTATCTAACTCTCAGACCGCATCACGCTCGATCGGATACGATGACAGAAGAACGACCAACTGACATCAACGGATACATTCAAACTCAAACTCCAACAGAAAACGCGACCATAGTTAACTCTGCGGCTAACACTACGTCGCTGCAGAAGGTACACTCTGCCTATCAAAAGAGGACGGACGAGTAGGATAAGCTAATCGGATCTCTCGCGAAACAGGCCAAAACCCTAACCGCGAAGACCAAGGCTATCCACCCCCGCGGAACCACAAGAATCCGCGGAAAATTACTCAATTTCACGACTCCTTTGGATCGTCCCACACCCGAGCAGGGTAATTATCGGACAAACCTCCAAAAATGATAACCCTGATGTGACACAAAAGGACTCGGAAAAATCTCCTTCTCCCGAACAGGAGGCCGAGGACGACGGTGTCGAAAGGGTTCATCTGGAAACAAGTGACCAATCCGATCCATCAGAGGAAAACGCTAAAGTTCATCCAAGAAGAAGGAAAGATCTCGGCCAGAATCTTCTCCCGAACACTCTCCCACCGAGGACGAGGAGGAGCTCTATTGCATGGAGCATGCAAAGATGGTCGAGGAATGATCTCAGGCCACTTGCAGCAAACGCCGACATGATCAGAAAACTGCTGGCGACCCGACTGAGATTTGCGATCTCTGCGATTATATCACAAAAAAAACCGCAGCGGTAAAAGCAGTGAAGTTTCGAATTCACCATGCCACTAGTGCCGCACCTGAAATAGATGCTGTACTATTCTTTGAAAATGCCTTTTACGGCTTGTATCACCGAGATCAAGCTGCCTGATCCCAGAAAGCTCAAAGTGCCGACTTACGATGGGATGACTGATCCCAAAGCGCACCTGCAGGCCTACTAGATCACTATGGGGCGAGTCAAGCTCAAGGAAAGCGAAAAGAATGCGGGCTACTGTCGTCTCTCCGTCTAAAACCTAGAAGGGGCAGTGCTTGAATGGTTCTCTCGACTTAAGCGGAATTCGGTCGGGAGTTTCCGCCAGCTTCCCTTAGAGTTTCTGAAGCAGTAATCGATGTTTATAAACCGAGAGACTTCTGATGCCGACATCTGGAGTCTATCCCAGAAGGAAGATGAACCTCTCCGCGCCTTCATGAGTAAGTTCAAACTCATCATGGCTAATTTTAGCGGAGTAAGCGACATAGCAGCCATCGACGCACTAAGAAAATTGCTCCAGTTTAAATCGAAATTCAGAAAGTGGATCGGGAAGCCGCGTACGATCCAGGACGCGCTCCACAAAGCTACCGATTACATCACTATCAAAGAAGAGATGATAATCCTAGCGGAATAGGATAAACCGACAAAGACGTCTGCGAAAGACGCCACGTTTAAGCAAAAGCCGAAAAAAGAAAAACCCTCGTAACGACAAGTACGTCCATTACGAGAGATAGGATCTCCAAGGAGCGCACAACTACACCATCAACTCTGGATCAGAGCAAGGGAACAGGTGGACCAGGAATTTGAGTTACGACAATAAAGCCTTCTGCGACTTCCACCAGACCCGCAGTCATTCTACCGTAAACGGCAAAGTTCTCTGCGCAAGACTGGCCGCAAAATTGCTCGCGGGAGAACTGTCCCAAGTATCCAGCGTAAAGGACCTCATCCGCAATTCAGACCGCCCCCAGAAACCGATAGGAATTTTCAGGTAGACACTTCGCCTCGAGGGAACCAAACAAGCGAGAAACACGGACGAAGACAAGACGAGAGAGGGAACTATGCTAACTGCCGAAGGGTCAACATGATCATCGGTGAATCGCAGTACTACAACGATACCATCTTGTCCATTAAGTCCTACCAACAAAAAGCCAATACAGTTTCGAGCTGTCCGACAACGTTGGATGACACTCCAAGAGGAGTAATCGCCTTCGAGGACGCAGAAACGTCCGGCATCGACCACCCGCATGATGATCATCTCGTCATATACCTAGTCATAAGCGATTTAGAGGTCACCAGAATCCTAGTTGATACCGGAAGCACCGTGAACGTAATCTTCCGCGACACTTTGACGCTTCGGGAATCGGATTAACGGGGATCGAACCGACGCCAAAGCCCCTAACCAACTTCTCCGGCAAAACGGCTATGACTATAGGATCAATCCGACCCCTGGTGGCCGCAAAGAAGTTACCAAGATCGTTACTCTCGCAGTCGTCGATCGACCGGCCATCTAAAACGTAATCATGGGCACGCCTTGGATAATCACATGAAGGCAGTTCCGTCGACGTACCACTTAGGTATCAAGTTCCCGACTCCTAAGGGAGTCACAGAAATTTGGTATACTCATCATTAACTGATTGTTTTGTTAATTAAAGGATCTTATAGAAAAGAAAAATAATATCTACTTTATATTGCTGAATATAATTAGATATAAGAGTATTATCTGAAAAAGAAAAAAAAAATTTGATCGTTGATAGATTTTGAACGTACTGTTTTATGTTTAGAATTGAAGTAATTAGTTAAGTTATAGGATCATTATAAAGGGATAGACATTAAAATTGGATAGTTTAGTAGTTTCACTTATAATAAGTGGAGTTTTCGGAAAAAATTTAAACATGGTGTAATTTTCAAAATTTAATCTTATTTAAAGTTATTTTTCCAAAGTTTACCTAATAGTTTATGTGTTTAACTTTCTGTTTAAAGTCTTTTCACTCATAATAAAAAAAGGGTCATAAAATTTTCTATTATATACCTAATTAATATATTATTTTATTTGATTTATTAATTAATTAATTACAAAAGTAGGGAAAATGAAAACAATTATAAATCATTTATAAAATATAAAATAATTTTTATCATAAAACAAATTGTAAACTTTACAACAACACTTAAAATGAAACGAAAAAGTATATAATAACACCTATCTATGGTGCGATAAAGTCATATCTAGTCTACTATACAAATTTACTTATAGATAAGCAATCCACATGGATTCTGCGACAATATCTTTCTTTTTAAATATCAGAAGGTTCGGGTCCAAAACACATTATTTCTCCTAAGTCCAAAACCACAATATGTAATATTAGTTTCGTTCCACCAGTCACTCGAACTGGGGACTTCTGACAATATCACTTGTCATGTTGTTTGTATTGTTGTTTTCTTGAAAAAGAACAAACGTTATCCCTTATATATTAAATGAGAAGCATTGTATTATATGCGACTATAATGGACACAAGACAATCTTACAACAATTTTAGAATGAGTATGATGATGTATCAAGTGTAGAGAGTTTCTTATCCAAATCCTACATAATGTACTGACACTATGTATTTTACGTTTTTTAATATAAAATTCACATTCATGGTTCCGCGGGTTACACGAAAATTCCACACAGAAAGACAATTTACAAAATCCTAATAGACATGTTTTCTCCTTTATAAATCTTTCAAACTCGCTTATACAATATACTTCAGTGTTTTCTATCAATACTAAACTCACATAAAATTTTGCGAAGGAAGGATCAAGTGTAGTAATATAGAGAAATAGAAATGATTTACAGTGATGAATTCGAAAAGATCGAATGAATAGATCCAATTTTTCGAAAGAAACCTTAAACCCCTTTCAATCATAGGTTATTGATGGTAAGTTCATAAGCATTTTTTTGTTACGAATGTGTGTACACATTTTAGAATCTGAGAGTGTTTTCTATCAGGTCCAACTGTAAAATATTTGTTGCCATAAATGATTAATATTAAAAATAGATTGGGCCAAAGTACAATACAAAAGACCAAAAATAAAGTGCAGCAAACCCAATTATATATATATATATATATTATTTTTATTCTTTATGAATAAAATTTTATTTTTTTATATTAAAAACATTCACTAATGTCTAGGCCTATTTTATTTTGAATTAATTTAATTTTAATATTTTTATCATTAATGTATTATTTTGAAAAATGCATTAATTTACAATATCTTTATAAATTTATCAATCACGTTTATATATTTTTACATATACATAAATGTGAAATATGATGTAAATATTCACTATAAGTTAAGTATATAATTCTGCTTGGAAGTTAAACTTTTTATTTGTTAATGCTTCTTTCATTATCAGCCAAATTGTAATAAAATAATTTGTCTTAATAATTTTTCTTTCTTTTTCTTCAACTATTATCCATTTAGAAACTATAATATGAAATCATTGGTCCAACATTAAGATTATCTAAAATTCATATAGCACAAAAATAATAATAATAGTTTTTGGTTATCACGGAGAAAAAAAACCTAAAACCGAACCGAAAAAACCAAAATAAATATTGATTTAGAATGGTTATATTTTAGGAGATTATAACAAATCAAACTAAAACCAAACCGATATCCAAATTAAACAGACTAAATGTCTCTTTATTAAAAAATAACGAAATTAATAATCATATTTCGCTTAAAGGTGAATTATTATCTGGTAAATTATATATAAATGCATCGTCTTCAGATGTTGCCTTTTCTTTCCATTTACTGGTTATATAAATGAAAAGAAAAAAACAATGTTTAGTTATGAAACTCTGTACCCACAAATTTGTTTCAAGAACTGAATTTTACTTGCAAGGGAACTAAAATACTGAGTTACTTACAAGCAGTCTTTAATACATAATCAATGGAGATATCTACTTAGTTTTCTTCATCAGCTTCTTAGTATCACCATCTTCCTCCACTTAGGTATCTTATTCCTCTTTCATTGTCTTGCTTTCCAATAATCGGAGGAGACCTTTGAGTGCAATGTCGGCATTCTTAGTCACCATGAGCTGCTGTGTGACTTTAGCCGGAGTTGCACTCACTTTAAGGACGAGCTTCTTAATGGGACCAAACAGGGCATGATCATCAATCTTGAGGTACAAAGCGACAAGCTTCTTGAGCACATAGGGTGTGCAATAATCCATGTGAATGTGAATGTGAATGTCCATTCTTCCTTGCCTTAGCAACGCTGGATCGAGCTTCTCCTTGTGGTTTGTTGTGAAAATTATGATTCTTTCTTCTCCGCAGCTTGACCAAAGCCCGTCTACGAAGTTCAACAGACCAGACAAAGACACCTGTCTAGAAGCATCAAATACACAATCAATGTCTTCAATGAGAAGAATTGACCGGTTCTGGATAGAGGTGAGAGTCCTCTGCAACTCACCATCATCCCTAACGCTTTGAAGCTGGATATCATAGATATCGTACTTCATGTAGTTAGAAATTGCAGCTACCATAGAGGTTTTTCCGGTACCCGATGGACCGTAAAGAAGATATCCACGCTTCCAGGTACGTCCCACGCTTTTGGAGAAGTCTTTGCCTTGAGAAAAAGCATCAAGATCATCGAGTATGCTGGTCTTTAGGTGCGACTCAATGGCTAGGGTATCGAAGGTCGTGTGGTGCTCGAAAATGGTGGACAACCAGCACGAATATTGCCTGTTGTAAGTGTAGATCTTGAGACTCTCGCATTGGCGTAGTATATTGTCAGCCGATTTAGCCAAGTAGGTGAAGTATTCTGTCATTATCTTCTTACTGAACTCCTTCTCACATGTCAGATGAAAGAACCTATAACATTAAAACAAGAGTATAAGAACCAAAAAGATTACGATTACAGACAAGGAGAAGATTAAAAAACACAGACTGTACCGTTTCCTGTTGGGAAAATTCTTAGTTTCAACAGAATGTAAAGTCCACTCAAGATGAATCCCTTCAAACTCATCATTGATTTTGGTATCTATAGGGATCCCTAGTTTCGGCGGAGCCTCTGGAGTCTTTAGATTACTCAAACCCACAATGACTTTTCCGTTGGAGAGTCTAGATAGAAGCGTTGGTAAGTAAACTTCGGCCGCATGGAAAGTTGTGTTCTTGACAAAGTCCCACTCTTCCTCGATCACAAACGTGAAACTCGATGGAAGGTAAGATGAGAAGACGAAGTCTACAACTTTCCCAGTAATGTAATCTTGGATTCGCTTAGGCACAATGTCGTTGAAGATTGTACGGAAAAGCATCATGATTGCAGAAAATGATGTGTCGAGGGAGAAAACTGCAGATACAGAAGGGGCTTGATTATAGAGAGACGCCATTTTCCTAAAGGAAGATGTTGAAGAGTTTGGTATAGCTAGAGAGCTATAGAGATTCTGTGTTTATAAAGAGTTGGAGTGATCAACAAGAAAGTTTGCAATTTCAGCATATAATTTCAAGCAATTCAAGCTTGTGCTCAAGAAAAGCAAAATGGAAATTGTTGATCAAAACTTTAAATGAAAAGTGCTAAAAGTTTATAAAATATTGGAATATATAAATGATAAACTGAAAAACTGAAAGAATATAAGATTTTCTTTTTAGAAATTAAAAATACTATACAAAAGAAGAATTGAAAACTTGACAACTGTTTTTAATCTAGATATTGTATTTAATACTTGACAAACGTTATTTACGTACCATCCATTAACCTCAAACGTGTTACGTTATACTAAAATGAATCTAAGATTATATATTTCTTTTTTTTATACTTTCTAAAAAGTTATATGAAAAGTTTAAGACTTTTAAATAAGCAAATGCAAAAAATAAGAAAATGTTAAATATTTTAATTTATTCTTTATACACCATGATATTTCATGTGTATAATAATTTTCTTAGATTATGATTATGAGAAAATTAAGAAACTAGCGATTCATAAACGTAAGAAAAATTATTAAAACTTTAAACAAAAAAACTTTGTTTAAACTTCAAAAGAAAATAAATTTATAAATGAACTTCAAATGCAGTTGTCAAATCATAAAAAAACAATCTTGATTAAATATCAAAATATATATTAAAATAAATATTTGAGTTAATTATTCATGTAAAAAATCATTATTCTAGGTACGAAAAAGTATTTTAGTGTATTTTGGATACATATTAGGAAATCCGTTGGAGTTTGGTACAAGTTCTTTTTTTTTTTGAATTTAGAAACTTATGGGTTTTTTGGATATCTATTTTGTTTTAGATTTGATTTGGGTGAAACCCATAACAAAAAGTACCGTAAAATAAAATTAATTCGGTAATCATGTTAGTTTCAGATTAGTTTGAGTAATTTTTCGGTTTAATTTTTGGGGCCAATTTAGTTTCAATTTTTGTATTCGATTTATTTCTAGTCCCTAGATTTATAATTCCTGTTTTCATTATATGTAAATTCTTTATCATGATTTTCTTCCGTATCTATCTAGTTTTCCCTAATTTGCATTTGATAATTGAAAACAGAAAAATTGTGAGATTTACTTCTTTTTTTTTAGGTTTCTTTAACCTTGTTTTGCTAAATTGTCTAAACAGTAACTTTAACATATTAGCGTACTTCATATTCTTGTAATTTACCCCTATATATTTTTGAACTATGTATTTTCATTATGTTATATATTTCCTTTAATTTTTGTTGTTACTGTTTTGTTCATATTTCTCAGCTTCTTTATATTCTAAAAAAATGTTTTAGTTATTTACTTGTTTTTGGTTGCAGTTTTCGATCAGTTTTTTTTTTAAATTTATCTATGATTTAATTTGGTGCCAAAAAGGGGGAAATGTCAGTTAAATTAAGAGAAATTGCACTCTACCCACAAGACTTATCACATAATTAGCAATATGCACATTTGTGCATTTCTTTGGTTTTGTCGAAATTATTCGGACTGTTATACCTCTACTATGTTTCCTAGTTGCATGTAGCCAAATCTTATCTTAGATTTTTTTGTCTGATTACCCAACTTAACTCGTAAAAATTTACATCAGACAAGTTGATATATTATATTATTTTCCAGATTTTTCCCTTAGGCTTAAAAATCTTGAAAGAAAAGGCTTCCAGTTCACCATTTATATTTCAACTGTTTATCTCTTCATCACATCTATTCTAAATTTCAAGTCAATTAGATAAATGCATTCGTCCTAATCCAATTAATTTCGTTAAGTTCCCAATGAATCCCACCGGAAATGAAACGTCTTTTCTTGTAGGATGTTTGCTTTTGGCGAGGAACCTTTGGGCGTTAGGGTTACATCTTATCACAGAAATTGCAGAGAAAGCCTCCTTGGGCCGGTTTGGGCGTTTCTTTATTTTCAGAAAATTGATTGTCTTGAAGAAGAACGAAGCTTGGTTTTTGTCCTTTGGTAAACCTGTAAGGCTCTCTATAAGGCAGTTCGCATTGCTGACAGGTCTCAATTGTGTTTTAAGTTCCAATTGCTAATGATCTTTTTGTTGTTGATCCCGCGGCTGAACTCTCCTCTGTTGTTCCTGAAAATTGCAATGGAGTTGAAGAAGTTACGATAAGACTATGTTTCTTTGTCTAGTCAAATTGTGTTTTATCTACCTTGCTAATTATTTTGATTATTTATTTTAGGTTTCAATTGCTAATGATCATATAGCATTTTTTCTTTGTCTAGCCAAGTTGAATTTTGTTTTCCCCTTTTACTTTTCGGCTATATGTTAGCATATATATTTACCAACTACATGCTTAGTATATATAGTTAGCCTATGCCAAACACAATTACATATTATTATGCTTATCCACACTGCTATTTATTTAACTACATGTTATTATGCTTATCTACACCACTAATTATTTTGATTACATGTTATTATGCTATCTACACTGCTAATTATTTTGATTACATGTATTCATGCTATTTACCCTGCCAATTATTTTGATTACATGTCTCTTTCTTATTTTCAGGGTCATAAATCTGAAGGCTGCACTACATAGTAAGGAATCCTCTCCAGCATACTTTGTCAACCAACCAACATCACTACATTTTCGCTTGGCCTTAGTCAGGAAGTACGCCAACACTTCAAAACAAATGTTATAGATGTGGTCGATTGAGTTAAATTTGTTAACGAGGTTGCACTAGTTCCACCCAGAGATCATCTTGTTCAACCGTATAGGAAGCAAGCTAAGGTTGTTACGATAGCGCTTGTGGGAGAGTACCAGTGTGATAAACACTTTGTTACACGTGCGTGGGAAGTGCATGTGAATGCAACTAGCGGTCCAAACATACGAACTTAGCTACTTGTCCATTTCTACAGTCTTGATTGTATTATTGTTGTGAGATGTAATTTGACCACCCTTTGGATGCTTATGGTTCTCACTTTTGATGTATTAATGAATTCCGACTATGTAATAAGATAACTTGCTTAAGTTCATGAAATATCTATGTTTATTAATACAATTTCTTTGAATTAACTTAGCAGATAAGATAAAAGTTACTTGTTTAATATTATTCATAACTGGCTACAATTAACCTATTTTAATTGTATACACTATACACTTCAGGAATCTGGGTTACCCCAAAACATGTGGGGGAAACGCTGCTTACCACTAATTATATCCTCAACAAAATTCCACAAAAAGTAACTGGCAAAACTTCATATGAATTATGGAAAGGTAATTTAACATCGTATAAATACCTTAAAGTGTGGGGGCGCTTGGCAAAAGTTGTGGTACCACCACCAAAAAAGGTCACTATTGGACCTAAAACAGTGGATTGTATCTTCATCGGATATGCACATAACAGTAGTGCTTATCAATTTCTGGTACATAAATCTAAAATATCAGATATCTATGAAAATACAGTAATCGAATCAAGAAATGCATCTTTCTTTGAAAATATTTTTCCATACAAGGAAAAACAAGGTTCAAAACGAATTCGAGAACAAAGAGACAACAAAAATGTTTCAGAAACTTAGACAAACGTCGAGATTTCTAAAAATGATATTTCAGAAAATGAAAAAGATGAACTTAGAAGGAGCAAAAGAGCTTGAAATGAAAAATCTTTTGGAGAAGATTTCTTAATGGCATTTCTAGTAGAAAATGTTCCAAAAACTTTGGCAGAGGCCATGGCTTCACCAGAAGGTCCGTTTCGGAACGAAGCTGTCAGAAGTGAATTTGATTCTATCATGCAAAATTATACATGGTACATAACAGATTTACCACCTGGCTGCAAAGCATTAGGAAATAAATGGATAATGACGCAAAAAACCTGGTGGAAAATACAAATCTAGGCTTGTAGTTCAAGGATTCCGACAAAAAGAAGGCCATGACTATTTTGATACATATTCTCCAGTAACGATAAATAACATCAATAAGACTGATAATAGCAATCGCAGCCTTAAGAGATCTGGAAATCCATCAAATGGATGTAAAAACCGCTTTTCTAAATGGTGATTTAGAAGAGGGAATTTACATGAAACAACCTGAGGGGTTTATCATTCCTAGACATGAAGGCAAAGTATGCCGACTAGTAAAGTCACTTTATGGGCTTAAACAAGCTCCTAAACAATGGCACAAAAAATTTGACAGTACAATGATGTCAAATGGTTTCAAAATTAATGAATGTGACAAATGTATATACTACAAAACTACCAAAATTGCGTATGTTTTGCTATGTCTATATGTAGATGATATGCTCATTATTGGAAGCAATAAAGACATTAAAAATCAGACAAAGAACATGCTCAAAGGGAAATTTGAGATGAAAGACTTGGAAGATATCCCTATGTGGGAGAAATCTGTGCCAGCTATACGCATACATTGTGATAGTCAATCTGCTATAGCTCGATCTCAGAATAATCTCTACAATGGTAAATCTCGTCACATCAGAAGACGACATAAAACAATTAGACAACTTATCTCAACTAGTATAATCACAATAGACTACATCAAATCAGATGACAACCTAGCGGATCCATTTACTAAAGGTTTGCCACGAGATATTGTTGCTAAATCATCAAAAGGAATGGGTTTAAACCTTATTACAAATGGAGATGTTTGATTTCAACCCTACCAATCATGACTGGAGATCCCAAGACGTAGGTTCAAAGGGAAAACAAAATCAAACAGAGTGTAACCAAAGCACTTGAGACAAAGTAGTATCTTCCCAGCTCCTAGGATGATAAAAGTGCTATGAAATGTAAGGATAAGCATAAGCTTTAATGATTCCATAGCTTCTAAAGTGAAATATTACTCAATACTTTTCATGGTAAATCACCTAGTGAGTGTGAAATTAGGCCTTTTCTAAGAGAATGAAAACAAGGCTATATTCTCTAAGTTCACTCATGAAAACCAGGGAT